TGCTAGATTGGGAAACACCTCAGAAAGTGGTAACTTCCATGTTGTTTCCAAGAAAGTTACCTGGATGCCTCCGTGAAGCCACCAGAAGTCAAACTCACTTTTACTTTATTATTCTGACTCTCAAAACAGAGAGTCAGAAAGGCTAGCAGATGGACCATGAGTCAGTCAGAGATATCCTCTGCCCATCGTAGACAAAGCCGTTAAGAATCATAACTTGTCGCCTGTTCTTTATTAGAGTACAGGCTTCATTCTTTGAGTGACTGATTTCCAAGTCATTCACGGAAAACAGCAAGAATGTGTTGCTCTGTCTGCTAAAAGATCATATTCTTTTATTAGCACAGGGTTTGTTAGCATCAGGAGCTCAAGGTGGCACACGTAGCACTTCCTCCCCCATTTTCCTCCACAACAACCCTGTGAGGTAGGGAGAAAGCGACTGGCCCAAAGTCACCCAGCTTCGGCACCTGGGAGTAGATCTGAAGCTGAATCTCTCTGCTGCCAGAGTTCAGACCCCAGTAGCTTTAGGTTGGATTAGCGAAGGCCCTTGTCTGAAACTCTGGAAGCTGCTGGTGTTACACAGTGCATAGATATACTAGAACTAGATTCAGCTGTATTCTAGTGGAAGAGTACAGCAGTTTCTCTTCCTATTACAAATATTTCCCATTGTCTGTTACCTTCTGGCAGGTTCTGATCTAGGACCTGTTGTTTAGAAATCAGTTTGCAGAGGGATTATCTTAGTTTATATATGAGGCCGTGATTCATTCTAACAGGAGATATTATTTGTTATCAAGAAACAAAACCAGTATCTTCTCTTTACGTAGAGAAGAGAATGCTAGTTCTATTCCCAGTTCAGCATCAGGAATATAATGTCTCTTTTCTCGCAAATACAGTGGTACCTCGGGATATGAACGCCTCTACTAACGAACTTTTCGGGTTACGACCAGCTCCGGCTGCAAAAATTTACCTTGATGTGCGAACTCCGCCTCGGGGTATGGTCATTTTGCCGCCCTGACATGTGGTCCGCGGCCATTTTTCCGCCCCTGACACGTGGCCCGTGGCTATTTTTCCGCCGCGCCGCACGGCGCCCAGCCATTTTCACGCTGCGCCGCGCCCGGCCGTTTTCGCGCCGTGCCGCGCCCGGCCATTTTCCCGCCCCTGCCCCGGGGTCCGTGGCCATTTTTCCGCCGCGCCGCACAGCGCCCAGCCATTTTCACGCTGCGCCGCGCCCGGCCGTTTTCGC